AGTAGGCTTATAGTGCTATACTAGGGTAATAGCTTTCTCGGGATAAGTATATTCTGAGTTATAGCGATATTCGGTATTAAAAGAAAATAAGAATCTAATTATAGAAGCGTAGTTCTTATTCTATATTAGTTTAATAATAAGAGTTAAAGCGCGTAAGAATAATATAATCTTATTTTATATATAGAAGAACTACTCTTTCTTTTTAACTTTACTTTAGATAGTAACGCTTTGAAATCGATTACGAAACTTAGCGAAAGTCTCGTAGGTATAGCTAGGTTATTATATCTCTAAGTAGTAGAAAGTATTATAGTAATTATCTTCCTCTAAACTAATAAGAAAGTTCTCCTCTAATAAGGAGATTATTTTATTACTAGTCTTAAACTTATTAGCGAGATACTAAAGCGTAAGATACTCTTTAGCTAATCTAGTAACTAGTCCTTATACGAGAACGCGCTAAGAGAAGTCTATAAGGTAGTAATTAGCGTTTATAGCTAGCTAGTCTCGTATCGATACTATCTATTAGAGGAAAGTAGAGTCCGATCTATTATCTAGAGGTAAGATTTTCTTAGTAAGATAAGACTTCCTAAGGTATGATTTTACTAATTCGGCGCTAAGAGAGAGAGATAGTTTATTAGGAATAATATCTTCTCTCTTAGTACTATATATCAGAATAGAGTTTATTAGCTTATTAAACTCTGGAATACGCGGAGATTATAGTATTAGTTCTAGTAAGAGAGTCGAGGATAAGTAAGAGACTCCTATAAGGAACTTATCTTATACGGAGATTAGTTTATCTATAGTATCTTCTAGAGAGTTATTCTTTTCCTCTTAGTCTACTAATTATTATAAGAGGGAACAGATCAAGTTCGAGTTATCTGCGGTAATAAGAGTACTTAGCAATTATACTCCTAGGGAATTTCGCTTTTATTTTCCTTTCTCTCTTAATCGGTACTTCTTTAATAAGGTATTAATATTCTTTAGTATAGGAGATATTTAGGGTAAGGAAGGATATAATAGATTAGGTTCGGAAGTAGAGCGGGAGGGGTCGCGTTAAGTCCCCTTAGAACTAGAAGAGTCTCTAGTTTATTAGTTAGGAGCTATAATAGTAGCTTAAAAAGAGGTATATTAGGGCTATTTCGGCGGCGATACGTAGAAGTTAAAGTTCCGGGGTATTTATTATACTTTCTTCAAAATCTGTTTATAATTCCTTTATACTAAGGGAGTTATTAAAAGAGCGTTAGCGAAAACCTCCTCTATTATACTATTTATAATAAGCTGAATTAAACCCTAATTCATAGCTATCTGAGAGATCTCTAGTATCTCGGCTATATGCGAGTAGTTATCGAATAACTAACTTAGTAGTAAGATATTATAGTAAGCTATCTTCGGCTATCTTAATCTTTTTATTTGATATAATAATATAAGACTCGAGGCGGTATATAAGTAAGAATAAATAAGTAAGGAAGCTAAGAGCGATCTTATATAGTCTACTATAAAGGAAATAAAAAGATAAGGAAGGAAGAAGAAAAGAGATCGAGTATAAGGTACTTTATATATATATACTAGTACTAGTCCGATACTATACCGAGTCGGATACTAGTTCTGCCGCGATACTTATGAACTTAGGCCCTAGTATTTATTCTTCTTCTCATGTGATATTCAGGTGAGCTGTCGTCACAGAAATATCTTCAAATTCCGGCTACTTCTGCTGCTTCCGAAAGATTCTTTAGCTTAGGAGCTCTAATTATTAATAAGCTAAGAAATAGGCTTAATAGAGATACTTTCGAGACTATTAGTCTTTTAAAGAGCTGGGGTTTTATAGCTAATATAGAGGAAAAAGAAGAGCTAGAAGAGATAGTTAATAACGCGGAGAATTTCTTTAATATAGAGTAATTATAGAGAGAAAGAGATATATAAGAATATAACGGGGTTGAGGTTAAGCTCTCACTAACTACGCTATCTGGACTAAAAGATCATAATATACTGCGTAAGCAGTATACGCTTAACACCGTATATATATAATCGACTACTACGTGACTATTATAATATCTCCCCTCTTAGTAAGCTCGCCCTCGAGCGCCTTAGGCCGAAGAAATGCCGTGACTACGCTAACTGATATGCTACGTTAAACCCCTAAGGGTTATAACGTAATATACCGAGACGAGAGATCTCGAAGTCGATACTATCACCCCTTGTTAGCCTGACGTAGGCAGTTTGAACATGTCACGTGCGTCTTAGTGCTCAGAGGTACCCGCAGGTTGTAACATAGCATACTAGGCTCTGCGCTTTACGCTAGGCCGACTCTACGCTATATGCGCCACGCGCCACATGCGTCATACGCCCCGTGCTCAGAGGTACTCTACCAGAAGACCGGTTGCGCAGTATATTCTGTAACGGGGTTGAGGTTAAGCTCTCACTAACTACGCCATCTGGACCAAAAGATCACAATATACTACGCAAGCAGTGTACGCTTAACACCGTACATATACAATCGACTACCACGTGACCATTACAAAGAAGATATAAGAATATAATAGAATTTCCTCTAATAAATCAAAATTTAATCGATTAACTAATCGATTAAGTCTAGGTCTTAATCTAATCAAAGGTCAAAATCAGTTAATCTAATCTAATCTAAATTTAATCGATTTAATCGATTAATAATCGATTAATTTGATTATTTTTTCGCATACTGATTAGCTCACGATTCACCAACCTGACCTTCGCGGATCGAAAATCTACAACATTACTTTGAGCAGCGGAAAGTGTTTACCCCTCTCAAAGTATAACTCCGACTGACAAACTAGGCGAAGGTAACATGCATAGCTTCCATTCATACAAGAGCACTTGCTCTGTGAACTTGGAGAAGAGGGCATTCTAATTGTTAAGGTATCTTCAGGAGACTATCTTTTGATCCCTAAATTCTAGGAAAGTCATCACCTCGCGTAATCTCAGCGAGGAGGAGATTGCAGGAGTCAGGTTGAAGAAGAGTATCACCTAGTTCAATGTTCAGCTATTTGTGATTTTAATTCTGGAATATTCAACGCTATGATGAAGGGTGAAGGACTCAAGATTAGCCTGAGAATCGTGACCAACCATGCATACCGACGTCAGTAGAAGTGCGCGACCATAGAAAAGCCTAAATGCCAGAACTGGAAAGTCAATCCAACCCACGTCATGAGCATAAGCTTGCAACTAGACAGCTGTGAAAAGATAGAGCAATTCTATGTTCTGTTGGTGCTGCTAAGTCTGGTGAAATGTAAGAAATAAAAATCCGTGACTCGGTAGCATAGCCTCAGATCGAGCTCTCTTTCGAGTAAGCAGAGGAGTTAAGACCTGCGAACTTGCATCGCAAAAAGCGAAGTGGATGTAGGCGAGCCGAGGTTTCTTATCCGATGGCATGCAGTCCATATGCCTTCTGCTAAGATAAGACAGATTTCAAGGCAGCTAGCGAGAGAGACTTATTAATATTAGCAATCTCAGAAACGTCAACGCGCTATCGGTATCGAGATGTACATACTTTGATTCAGAAGTTACTCTCAGTAAGATTCCAAGGAAGCTCAGCGTCAGAGACCTCGAAACAAAAGAATCGATCCTCGAAAAGGCCATGTCCAGCGACGGCATTCCGACGCAGAGCACTGTCGTTTCGGAGGAAACCATCCAAAATTTTGTTTATTCTGTCAACAAACTTGACGGATCCGCTGTTTAGACATGTTCTGCAGATTTTGGCGAATTCTGGCCACATTATGTCGTCAAATTCCTTGCTGAAAATAAACATACGGATATCGGGTTTGTGTCTGCCGGTAGTAAAGATGGTCGGCAGAGCTGCTGAAAATAATTAGTTAGTAGCAACGACGAACACAAGGTAGTGCACGAAGAAGGGGTTCCTTACCAGACGAATGTTTCTGCTGATTTTTCTACTCGTTAAGAAATACTTGCTGTAAAACATGGGGTTGAGATCGGTGACTAGGGAGCGCGACGCGCTATGAAGCTCAGATGTACTGAGAGGTCGTATTTAGGGAAGGAAAGGTTGGAGGAGACAATCGATGTATCTTTTTCACACACCTTCAGTATTCACTAGCATGTCCAAAAGTGAGACCTGGTGCAAATATTAATTGAAAGTGTAAAGTTGGTGAAGTCGTTGGGAATCTTGCTCCATATCACTAACTGAAGGAAAATGTCCAATTCGAGATGAGAACTGGAATAGTTTCGGATAGTCAATCAACTTATCTAGCTACTCATTTCAATTAGCAGCAGTCTATCTCCGACGAAAAATATTGCTTTCAAATTCTGAGGGGTTCTTTGTCTTTACTTGGACGTCGCTAGTGTGCTCGTTCATCGACTCCTTGAGGCGTGATTATGTTATAGTTAGGATTTATTTTAAGCCCATGACTCTTAATGCCGGGTCTACCATCTATCTGGATTATCTTTCAGTATCTGGCCTGGTATTCTGCTATATTTTGTGAGGCAAAGTCAATTTATGAATCCAACATCGTTCAACACTTCCTTCAATCTCAATTTCACTTAGATAAAGAAGCCTCACGGTCGCCCTTCTATCGCAAGATACAGCATTGCAGTTAATTATATGTCAGGCCCTGATGAGCCTTCTGTTTTGCATCATAAATATGCAACCTTAAAACTGCAAAATAAGAAAGTAGAGTGCTCAATACAAGTCACACTTCAAGTTATTATTGACATGCTCGCTTAAGTTGCAGGGTGCTTTGAAGGCTCGCTTAGCAGTTTTGGGGCATCAGAGAGAAAGTCATCCCACCTTTGCCCTCAGCTTGCCATGGAGCAAATTAATCCTAGTACTTTACCATAAAGCAACTTGGCTCGCCTAGGAACTTCTGTGACTGAGTGCTAGCTGACAGGCAGGACAAAGCCCACCTCGTTTACAAAGAAGTAAAAAAAATCCCAAGTTCGCTTACGGAAAAGTCTTCATAGATCGATCAAAAGAAATAGAATTAGCACAATCTAGATATGCAAAAAGTCACGTGAGCTGAACAGTGAGGGATTCGAACCCTCGCTCTTTCGAACTAGTATTTAATGAGGGGAGGTCATCCTGAAACTAGCGCCATAACCGCTCGGCCAACTGTCCGTATATTGTTTGGTTGAGAAGACATTATATAAGTATATATTGGAATCATTCTACCTTGCCGAAGTGTGCCGGTTGTGCGTTATGATCAGCACTTGAGTCCGTAGTTAGCCCTGTGGGGCATTGCGGAAGACCCTGCTATTAGTTGACCCTTGAATGTCCATGAGATTGAAAAGTAAGCCAATCTTTTAAGAGGTAAATAGCCTGTGTAGCAACCAGTAATAGGTATGATCGAATAGAGTATTACTTAAGAGGACACTCTTTAGTCTTAGAAACATCCATCGAAATGGTCCGCGCCTGCGTCATAAAGGTCCGTGGGCTGAGTACATTTGAGAAAGCCTGTTGCACTTTACGTAGTTTGCCTCAAGCGAGTATATATCATTGAGTTGATATACTACCTGTAATCTATGTCGGATCAGGTCTTTCAAAATGAAGTAGGAAGGACCTTAGGAGTTAATTACAAGAGATATTAACGACGTCTAAGTTGCGTTATATGCGTCCTTTGGGAAGCTGAAAGACGGACTGTTTCATCTACGTGTACTAGTTGTATCATGGTCTTCTATTATTCTGGCTTCCTTTATCGTGGCTCCCTCTGTCGTAAAAGTGGTTGGTTGAAGACATCGGGAACAGGTCACTGAGCTTCCCTTCCTTCCTCTGTCTAACAAATTTCAAGGATATTTACTGTAACCTCATTGAAGTAGACGATAAAGCGCGAATTGATGAGCATAGAAAAGGAAGGCTAGCTCTGGGTCAATATCCAACTCTGATCTTTCATAGAAAAGTGGGAAGACTCTGCTCAAGCAAACGCATTTGCTGCAAATTATCCCGACTCGCCTCCGATCACAAAGTTTGTCACAATTTTGTATAATTGCCGAACGTTTTGTGTTGGCAGGGCGAATTTGACTTTACTGTGGTAATTCCAGAGGTATATTTTGCATTCAAATAAAGACGGGCACATGAGTTCCCATTTGGCCCATTGAATCTCTGCCATGAGGCTGTTGAAGGAGCTCTCAGGGACATGGACACATTCATTCCTTTCTCATAAAGTCAGACAAAATAGGAACTAACCTCGTAGCGAGAATCGTCTCTCGATCACAATTTACTCAGGGACGACCGAATACTTCTGCATACCTAGAATGATTGGTCGAGTCGAACGGCACTCCTCTTCCAAGAAAGTTGACTGAGCTTCGGAATATGTAACAGTAGAGAGGGAAAGAGTTTAGGACCTGGTTAGAATTGAATTCCGAAATATTTTGGCCATGCGATGTTGCATCCCTCTTCTTGATATGTGCGCCGGGAAATAACGCAGTGATTAATAAGATCGAAATCACGTCCGGGTTTTCGGGGCCTAGTATGTATATCATTCCAACAATTGACTTTAATTCGTGACATGTTCCACCCCAGGATAGGACCAAATACTATGCAATTGAGCACACAGTATACCAGCGACATGCCTTCAATTCTCCAAGTCACATAGTCACAGATGGTAGGAATGCTTTCGGAGAAACTGGCATCAATTCAATATGGAGGCACTGCAGGATTGTCAGCACTATTCGACCAAAACGCGAAATCAAACATACCATTATGGCCATCTCTCATACGCCGACATGTCTTGAAATTTGACACATCGGCCCAGCATACGCTTGTGACTTCAAGAAAGCAATCCCCAGCCCCTCTCAATCAACGACCTCACCCCTGGCCCCAGGACTCCTGCTCCGACTCCTCGCTCTCCCATTCGCAGGTGCTCTTCCCTTCCCAGCCTTTCCAGGAGGTGGTCTGACGAAAGCAAAGTCAACCTCAATCGTCTGATCCAACAGCTTCGTATTGTGCGCCCCATCAATCGCTTTGCGCGCCTCGTCCAATGTTGGGTATTCGATCAGCGCATATCCCTATCCCTCATTAGCCCTTCCCTACAGCCTCGTAGAGAACGCCCACTTTAACATAACCAGTCCTACGATCTAGGTTCAAGTGCAAGTTCTTAATCTCTCCAAACTCGGCGAACAGATCGTTCAAATCCTCCTCGCTGGCTTCTTCGTGGACGTTGGTGACGATTACGATCCAGCCTTCGATAGAGCGGACCGCGGTCGCGTTGGTGTGTGTGGCCATTGAAGCGTTCTTTGTGTCTTGTTTTAGTTCGGGAGAGAGGGGCGCATCAACGTCCATTTCGGTGTCTGCCATGATTGCGGTGGTCTTTGGAAAGAGCGAATGTTTCAAGTTGTGCTGGGGAAGCGTTGGTGGTTTGGGCAGCTCGCGACGGAAGTTGTAGCAGACAGGCGCCTCAACTTTTCGCGGACGCAGAATCTCTCAGCCTTTCAGCCTCAGCAACATAGGATGTCAATGCAACAACCAAAATTATCTCTGAACCATCGAACAAATTTATCGTATTTCCCGCAATTATTGAACTTAAGGGGAGACCTTCTTTTGAAATTCTAAGTATTGATTCAATACCTTGAAGATGAAAGCAGCACTCTTCCGCCTTGATCTGACAAGTATTGTAGATCAAGCGTTGCGCAGAATTCCTTGTGCTTCATACCCCCTAGGAGGAGCTCATGCCTGCTTGTTACATTCGAAAATCGCACTGAGATCCTATCATTGAGCTGCTTATTATTCTGGTACCGATACGCTATTGGTGTGCCCGTGTTATCCAGACACGACCGCGTGGACGAAGGTTGACTTGATTCGCTGTCCGTACTACTGTGCCTCTCACGGTATGTTCAGGCGAAGGGACCATTTCAAAGTCGTCGACTTGTCGCCACCTCTCATATATAGCTCATTCATCGATGTTCAATTGTTTTGTTATTTTTGAAACTATATCTTATTATCTCTCATCAATGGCTTCCCCACACTCGACTTCGCACCATGATGTAGTCATCATAGGTGCTGGCCACAATGGCATCGTAGCCGCAAAGACATATCTACAAATGAGCCCGTTTGTCGATCTCCTCATCATCGATGGAGAGAAATCTCTCGGAGGGGTATGGTCAGCCGAACGGATCTATCCAGGTCTGATCTATGAGATGCCATATCCTATGATGAACTTCACAGATTTTGACATAGGAGAAGAATTAGGCATTGAGCTCTGGGGAGATGTTACTGGGTATCAAGTGAATGAGGCTTTGGTAAGTCTGCCTAGTCTCTATTCTCTCACGGTTTCTCGCCCTGATATGAGCAGAATCGATATGCAAAGAAGTTCGATATTCCTAAACTATGCCAATTCAACACTCATGTAGAAGCCGTCCAAAGGAACGGACCTGGCTGGAAGGTCATCACACGTCGGAAAAATGTGAAGACGGATAATGTTGAAGAAGTCACCTGCAACAAGCTCATCGTCGCAACAGGCATTACATCAAAGCCAAAACCCATACCTTATGATTTGAGCAAATTCGACAGTCCTTCGTTCCACGCTGTTGAAATAGGACAGCGTCAACACGAGCTTCTCGCCAAAGAAGTAAAGCATGTTACCATCATTGGCGGACACAAGTCCGCGCTCGAAGCCGTCGGTGCCTGCGCTCAAGCAGGCAAGAAGGTCGAGTGGCTCATCAGGACAGAAGGAAGCGGACCGACTTGGATGGCACTTGCTCGAGATGCAGAGGGAAATTCCCTGGCTAAGCTGACCACAAAGCGATTCATGGGCTTCGTATCAAGCAGTATATACAACTCAGATCGTTGGTTGAATCGGTTCTTCCACAGCGGGCAGTGGTGGTTGGGAACGTGGATCTTGAATAGATTCTGGCGAATCATGACGGTGACTGTGAAGAAGGATGGCATTACTAAGAAGAATAGATATCACAACAGTGAGAACTCTCGGAAGTTGGAGCCAGCTCCTGATTCGTACGTTCTCTCTTAACTTCAATCCAATGAACATGTCTCTAGCCTGTTATTGACTGTACTTTATAGATTTTTCTGGTTTGTCCCAGGCGCCACAAATATCCACGATAGAGACCTCGAGACGATCAAACTTATCGATGAAGGAGACCTCGTTAGCGTCACACGTGAAAATTTAGTTACCGCATATGGGAAAACCATCACCCTTTCAAACGGCGACAAGCTGTCTACCGACGCCATTGTCTTCTGCACAGGCTGGGATCCCACGTTCCCCTCTCTCTTCTCGCCCTCTCTCGCCGCCGAGCTCGGAATACCCGTCGACCCTTCACATCTCTCCTCAAAAGTAGCCTCATATTGGAAAACCCTCGACGCCTTAGCAGAATCGAACATCGACTCTCTAAACCCCATGCTCGCCAACCCACCTTCGAACATCCACATCCCGAAATCCGCAAAAACGCCGTATAGACTCTACCGGACCATGGTCCCTCCCTCGCTCGCGGCCTCTGGCGACATTTCCATAGTGATATTAGGAAACTACGCCGGCGGACGCATCCAACAATCCGCTGAGATCAACAGTCTCTGGGCTGTCGCCTATCTTCTTGACCTCCTCCCTGCACGTACAAAGCGCGTTCTACAGGATAAGGAACGCATGAACAGAGATATCGCGCACGTAGAAGCCTTTCGCAAGAAGAGATATCTAAACATGTTTCCTTACCGCCTAGCTATTTTCGAAGCGCCAGAATACGAAGACGCCATTATGTGTGATTTGGGGCTGAGGGCGGATAGAAAGGCGATGAGGGTGCCTAAGGGATGGAGGGGCTGGTTTGGATGGAAGGCGTGGACGCAGGAGTGGTTTGGGAGTTATCTGGCGGAGGACTATAGGGGGATTGTGTGGGAGTTTTGGGAGACTGTTGAGAGGAGGGAGAGGGAGAGTGAGAATAAGCTTTCGCAAGGGGAGCGTGAAGGATGATGTGCTTGACGGACTTATCGAGATATGCTTCCGGAGAGCTCTAAGGTAATCGAATAATAATCTATGACTTGTATTCTTGTATGTCTACTGCTTTGATGTCAATCCAGGAGAAAGGAGCAGAGCTTGATGTCTGGATATCATAAAATAGAAACTCAAAATATTAGCTTGAACACATTACTGATCGTATCTTAACATGACTTCTATCTTT